GGTGGGGCCCAGGGCGATGCGGTGTGGGCGCGGTGCGCTGGCTGCGGCGGTGATGGTTGCAGCCGGCGTGTGCGTGCGGGATGGTCTGGCGGCGCTGGCGGGCGCGGTTGGGTCTGCTCGTTTGGATTTGGGTGCGCGGGGGACGGCTAGTGGTGGGCCCGGTCTGGCTGCGGCTCGGTGGCTTTGCTGGCTGCGGCTGGCGCCTTGGTCCGTGTGGCCCTGGTGCCCCCTTGGCTGGGCAGGGGGTCAGCGTTCGGGCATAGGTGGGTGCCCGGGCACTGCCCCTCTGTTTGCGTGGGTTTGCCTGCTTCCGCTGGCCCGGCGTCAGTGCATACGGCGGTGTCGCCTCTGACCCGGTCTGGTGTCGTTGTATACCGTCACTAAGTGCTCCTCAACTCGGCCTGGCAAACAACACTCTGCTCTGCCGAACGCTCTGACCTTCAAGTCTGGCACGAGCACACTCAAGCCAACTAATGCCTAACTGTCAGCACCTAGGCCAATGCTGGTGAGAGGCAGTGAGGCTGTGGAGGCTGCGCCGCTGCCCCCCTTGGGCAACGACACGTTCGCAACGACGCCAGCCGTACAACCTGAGACCAGCCACACAAGCAGAGGCCAGCCGCGCAACCCGAGGCCAGCCGCGCAACCCAATGCCAGGCGCGCAACCCAATGCCAGCCGCGCAACCCGAGGCCAGCCATGCTACCCGGGTCTCGCAGCCACTGTACTCGGGCCAGCAGCGATACTCGATGCCAGCCCCAATACCCTGGTCTCACAGCCACGCTACCCCGGGTCTCACAGCCGACGCTACCCCGGGTCTCGCAGCCACCACGCCACCCGATGCCAGCAGCGCTACAGACAGCCACGCTACCCGGATTGAGCAATCACAATACCCGGGTTGAGCATCCACGCTACCCGGGGTGAGCAGCCAACGCTAACCCGGGTTGAGCAGCCACAATACCCGTGTTGAGCATCCACGCTACCAGGGGCGAGCAGCCAACGCTAACCCGGGTCTCGCAGCCAACGCTACCCCTGGTCTCGCAGCCAACGCTACCCCGGGTCTCGCAGTCAGCGCTACCGCGGGTCTCGCAGCCAACGCTACCCCGGGTCTCGCAGCCACGGTACTCGGGCCAGCAGCGCTACTCAACACCAGCCACTATACCCGGGTCGAGCAGCTTGCGGCTGCATCTATACAATTTCGTTTCGATGCTCCTCGGCCTCCAGGCTCAGCCCCGTATGCTCCACGTGCATTCGCAGTAGCATTTCGAGAGGGCCTGTGCCTCCTAAGTAAGCAACTCAATCGCGTCTCGTGTCAACGCTCCGAGCTGAAGGCCGAGTGTGACACAGATCACTGCGCGCAGGCAGTGTGTGCACTTATGTCGCCTCATGCCATGGGCCAGCTGTGTTGCTCATACCCGGCCAACTGCGTTTCGCCGGCCCTGCGTGACGCATCGACACTGAGTCGACCGCCGTGGCCTTCGAATTTACGAGGCGCGCATGCATTTTCGCCGTCGAGCGGCCCCCCTTCCGCCCGGCGCCTGCCCGCTCGCGAACCGCCATCTCTCAGCTCGAAAGCGCTCTTCGAACCTGTTGGTGTTAGCCGGTCGCTCCGTCTCTCCTCTAGTCCTTGCAGCGCTAGAGGGTGCCCGTCGTCTCGACGGGCGGCACGATTAAATACAGCGAGTTAGATCTTCACGAGCGATCAGTGCAACGCGATCAGTAGCGGACGGCAAACTGAGCGATCACTGAGTGGCAACACAATTTAAATTGAGCCAAACCAGCAACTGGCTCCCGTATGACACGGGTTGTGGCCAGTAAGTGTGTGCGGTGCTGTGTGCTGCGGGCAGGCATGTAGGCAGTATAGCTTGAGTATATGCAATAGCCCTGACCAGTTGCTTATAAGAGCATATACAAGAGCCATACCTCCAACAGAACCTTGGAGCGACCGCCCTTAAACAGTCTGGGAAAAGCCCACAAAGGTCAACTGTTTAAGCTGGCCGTAGCCGTACAGACATCGATCAGGCCCTTTATGACTGCTACCCAAGCCTAGGAGGGGTCCGTGACACTAAGTCGCAATCATTTCAGAGCCGATTTCTGTCGTGCCGCACTCATGGGCCCCGGAGTGTCGATTTCAGTCGCATCCGCCGTCCCGCCAACTGGGCGTTTCCATGCGTGACACGGCCGCCGGACACTGGAGCCACAGGATCCGCCCCCGCCGGGCATGCAAATCCGCTCACGACCGCCCCGGACCCGTCCGGTCGCCACGCCCGTCCGGCCCTCCACCGGACCCTTTTAGCAGTGTCATTTTCGAGCCCAAGACCCCCTTCTCTCCGAACCCTGAACGATACCCCCTTAAACCGTCCCAGACCACTGAACGATACCCTTGACGTACCCGTAAAGGCAATGTTCAGGCCCTTAATGACTGCTAAAAGACCTTATGTATAAGATGACTTATTTTCAGTGAAACTTTCCGTGAAAATTTCTTTTCACCTGAAAGTCCCTGCGCGGATTTTCACTGAAATTCTCATACCCTGCGCAAACCGCAAACAGTCAAACCTCGAAGCCCGGTCTCACTCCACATGAATGGGTCCACCCGGGCTCCGCCTCAACACAGTCTATGCATGGGGCCGTTAATGGCCGCCTCAAGCCCTCATTCCCACGCCTTGGCTCACGCCTTGGCTCACGCCTTGGCTCACGCCTTGGCTCACGCCTTGGCTCACGCCTTGGCTCACGCCTTGGCTCACGCCTTGGCTCACGCCCACACCCACGCCCACACTTATGCATACGCTCACGCTTACCCTCGCTTTCGCCCTCGCCATTGCCCTCGCCATTGCCCTCACCCTCACTCACCCTCGCCTAGGTCGCCCACGTACTCGCCGTGCCCTCGCCCTCAGCCTCACTCGAGCCCTGCTCAGCCCCTCGCCACTGTGCAGTCACAGCGCGAGCTGCTGCCGCAGGACCCCTTCAGTGCGACTGCAGCTGCGAGTCAAGCCTCTAGCTGCGCATGCTGCCACTCACGCAGCATTCGCACGCAAGTGCGCCTATGCGGGGCGGTGCTCGGAAGCGCAATGCCGCGCCTGGTGCACTCGGCGCGCAGCTGGATTGCCGCCAGGCCGAAGAGCTGCTCGTCGGTCCACCCGTTCAGGTTGAACGGTACCACGGGGCCCGGGATCGCGTTCGGCTCCGGGGGGCCCGGCTCCGGGGCGGGTACGTCTTGCGTCGCGGTGGCCTGCGCTCGCCACTCGCGCAATGCTCGCAAACACGTGAGCTTCTGCGGTTTGTCGCTCCTGAGCACAATGCCTCGCCTTGCGCACTCGGCGCGCAGTTGGCGCACCGTCAGACCCATGAGCTGCTCGTCGGTCCACCCGAACAGGTCGAGCGGCACCACGGGGTCCTGAGTCGCACCCTGCTGCGCGCTCTTCCACGCGAGCAGCGCGTCGACGCACTCCTCCAACTGCGGGTTTGCGCCGAGCACGATACCGTGCTCGCCGCACTTGACGATGAGCTGCAACAGCGTGAGGCCGAGCAGCCTCGATGCATTCCAGCCGTGCAGGTTGTTGTTCGGGAGATCGACGGCCTCGCTCTCGTGCTCAAGCATGCGCGTCGCGCTATCGCGTAGACCGGCGAGCGTGAGCTCAATTGGGCCCAGATGGGTCTCGGCCTCCTCGGCCCTCGCGTCGTCGGCGGCCTCCTCGAGGATGGCCGTCATGAGCTCGCCGGCGGCCTGCTTGAGGCTCGGCGACCCGTTGTTGTAGAGCAAGGCCGCGAGGCCGGAGAAGAGCGCGGTCGCATTGCAGCAGTCCAGTAGCGCGTCGGGCGCCTCGTCGCCGACATCGGCGGCCGCACTTGCTGCGTCCCGGGCTGCGATGGCGGGGTCGAGCTGCTGCATGGAGTCCAAGTCCCTCTCCAAGTCCATTAACTTGGCCGCGTGCATCCGCGCCTCGAGAGGAATGAGACCAAGCTGCTGAACATAGAAGGCCGCGTCCAGGGTGACGATGTCCATGAGATCCGTGCGCGCTCTCTTCACCTCCGCGGCGAGCCGGGTCCACTGGTTCCTCACGGCGATCGCGTGAAGCACGCGCCAGGCGAGCCTCTGGCGCATGAAATCCTCCGCGAAGTTGTTGGTCGTAACCGCGAGCAAACGCAGCTCTTTAAGCGGCTCCATAGCGTTCGCTCCGATCAATCCATTCGCCCTCGGCAGCACCTGACTCGCGAGGAAACTCCACTCCCTTCCTAGCTCGGCCGCCAGGGCGCTCGCCTCGCTCAGCGCGTTGAGCTGCGTCACCACGACGTTGACCGCATTGTACGCGAGCCTGAAGGCGACGTCGACGCCCGCCATGTCACGACGAGGAGCGGTTCGCGGAAATTACGAGGAGTCGCGCCTGGTGCTTCACACACATCCGTCACACAAATCAAAATTGTCACACAAAAGATGAGATGAGCGCTCATGTTTAAACTTTTGGTCACACATGAGCGCTCGTTTTTTTTTTCAGAGAAGTTGCCTGTTGTTCAGTTGCAATTTAAAACTCGGAGTCGTTTCGAGAGCTGTCACATACAATATGAGCCCTCGTATTTCAATTTCTTAAATTGTCAGTGATGGCCCTTCAGCCTGAATGGGGCAGTTGGAGGTACCTGCTGGCACGGCGGGTTCAGTCACCGGAGTGGCATCGTTATGAACCAACGACGATGAGGGGTATCGAGCGAAAAAAAAAATTGGTAAGACGTGAGCGCTCGTTTTTCATTTTTATGAAATATAAGAATATTAATAAGGAATGACGTGCGCTCCACGCAGCTCGCCTAGCCAGAGCCTCTATGCCGGCGAGCTGTGAAAACGATCCTGCCGGCGTTGTCTCCATGACGTGTCATATGACAGCTCGCCTAGAGACAACGATCTTTTCAGTCCGAAGTCTCAATCGCCTTCCCGGCCCTCAACCAAACGCCGGGAAGGGAGGTGCGGGGCCAAACCGACTTAACGAAAGAATGCCCACCTTAAGGGGCCAAAGGCGTGTAGCACCAAGAATTGAACCTGGGACCTCGATCCTAAACGGCAGGGGTCCTAAACCATTAGACTATGAATCACTTCCGTAATAGGCCTCTGGGCGTCTGTACCAGAAAAGCTTAATTTTTATAGGTTCACCAGGACATGACGAATTTAGGAGACCTTCGCTAAAGGCTTCTGGAAGCCTATCCTGTAAACCCAACTCTGTTGGTCCAGCTGCACTCGGGTACGGAGGCTCCGCGTGGAATCACTAATCACACTGATAAACTCACCTAGACGAACAGACCTCGGACCACCTCGGACCAATACCCACACGCGTGTTACACAGCAACATCGGCTCACACGTGCAGCCAGCAGAGGCGCGTCAAAAGCGCAAGAAGAGAGGGGAACAATGCCTTGCAGCCACACTGGCTGAGGCGCGCCCCAAGCGCAAGAGGGAAGAACAATGCCCCGAAAACACACTCCAACATATTGAGCCCGAGGCCCACCCTCCTTGGGGGGTGGGGTAGACCGGGACTACAACGAGCCTCCACCGTGTAATTCATGCTCCTCGTCGGACAAGAATCACACTGTGGGAAACAGGCTGCGGCCGGAGGATATTAGTTCGTTTATTATGTGCTACAGGTGCGGTATGTCCGCAGGCGAGCTGCATTTTGAAACGAGCGAGAAGCAGCAGCAGCCGGTCAGCACGCCAGCCAGAGAGTCGCCGATTGTCGTGTGACGGTGTGTATAATCAGCCTCAGTGGTGAGGACCAGAGGGGTGGTGATGCACGCTCGAGGTGGATGCACGCACGATAGCGAGTTTTGCGCCTGAGTTGAAGACGCGCACGCGCCGCTCGGTGCTGCGTGTGAGGTGACGAAGATCGCGTGGAGAGCGGGCCGCCATCGTGCATTTTCTTGGCCCCACCTTCACCCATGACCAGACTCCCATCGTGAAATCACTACCAGATTTGTCCGATGACAGACTATATTCCATTTTTATTCAATTTACAACAAGCCTTCACATGTTTCCTGAATTAGTATTAGAAACGCAATAGTCCCGAATTCGTTTGCAAGCTTGACTGGCCCTGACGAAATTAGCTGCCCAAGTCACACACTCCTAACGTCTGGCCCAGCCAGAGATGGTCTCAGGTCTGCCCGGCTCTGCCCCCCCCCCCTCCCTTACAAAGGTGCGTTCGAGACATCGTCGCCGCCGCCGCTTCCGCCTCCACCTCCGCCGCCGCCGCCGCCGCCGTCGCAACCGAGGGTCCAGTCAGAGTCGGACCAGCTAGTGGCCACTGGCGCAGCGGACAGTGGGGTTACAGGAGTCGTGCCTGCTCCATCGATGGCAGCAGGGTCCGGTACGGCAGTTACGGCCGCCGCCAACCAGCCACCGGCGGAGGATGCGACGGTGTCCGCTGTCCCAGTGTCCACGACGGCAGTGTCCGCGGCGCCAGTGTCTGCTGCGCCAGTGTCCGTAAAGGCGGCCGCTGTAGGCTCGGTTGCTGCCGACTCCGTCGCCCACCAGTCAACACCGGCAGCGGAGGGCTGACTGTCCAAGGGGGGGGTCGGCTGACTGTCCGACGGCTGACTGTCCGCAGCATCGCCGAAGGGGTTACTGTCCGCTCCCGCGGCGGAGGGCTGACTGTCCGCCGGAGGAATCTGCTGACTGTCCGCGGCGAAGGGGTTACTGTCCGCAGCATCACCAAAGGGGTTACTGTCCGCCGGGGGAATCTGCTGACCGTCCGAGGGGGGGATCAGCTGTCTGTTCGCCGGGGAATCACCCAAGTCACCGCGATTTGGGGAATCGGAAGATTCGTGGGAATCGGAAGTTTCTTGGGCTTCGGAGAGGTCTGGGAGCGAAGGCATCGAGGCGTTGGAGGAGAGGAGGGAGAGGCCAGAATTCACCTAAATATCATTAATAAATATTAAATGTTAACAAAATAATAACTGATTGGTCCGGAATTCACCTGAGAATGGACAAGAAATAATCCGTTATTATGAGGTGGGAGGAGAAGAGAGAAATCAAGAAAAAAAAACTATTTTATACACAGAGAGTGACCGGAGTTAACCTGTTTATGGTAATAACAATAAAACAAGGTGACAAGGACATCGGCGTGTCCCTGCTGGAGCCAGATCTCGGTTGCTACCGAAATTTAAACCGTAATTAGTTAAAATCATTTTACAATTTGCAGTAATTGGTAAATACTCGTTGCATTGGTGAATCCCTTGCCGGCAAGGGATTCACCAAGAACAGAGTCCTGGCTCCAGCAGAAGGATGGTACATGTCCAACGTTTCGTTCATACTGACTAATGATTTTTGATATTTTTTGAAGGTTTTATTTTAATTTAAAGAATGGACCTCTGGAGAGAGAATGACCGAAACCGACCAATTGTCGCGCCCGCTTTCGGAACTCTTGCCGAGCAGCTGGGGGGGGGGGTGGTCGCAATCAGGAGAAGAAGAGCAACACGAAGCTTTAATATACAACTTAAAATGCGCAGCAGTGCTTGCCTCTGCCTGCTGTGCTACTACTTCCTCGTGCCCTGTCCCCTCTGACTCCCTTCCTGACACAAGGGAGTCAGAGGTAAGTCCCCTTCCTTCCTTCCTGACGCAGTGCTTATCTCTGCAAGCCACGCTGTTCTTTCCCCAGGCACACTAAATAAAACCTATCTAATTCTCCGTTCTGACTTACCCATTGGGGCTGCTCAAGGCACTTCGTAGAATTCGTATGCAAGCATTGACGTACCTCAGTGCGTGAATTCGCTCTCGCCT